GTGAGGATTAAGGTGTAGAGATGATGGATGGATGTTTTAATTTGTCTCCATACTTGTAGTCAATGTACTTTTAGCACCCGGCTGTTAGCTGAAATCTTTAAAATGTAGAATTATCACAATTCAAAACTTAGATTTGATTAAATTTTCAACAATAAAACATCAGTCGACTCTTTCATGTGTTATGTACACAACTTCCAGAGGAAGCGTCTTCAGTTTGGGCGCGCTAATCATCTGTTGTGGTCAGTTTTCTTTTTGTCCCATTGAATCATTTTCACTGCTTGGCTGCATTGCTTTGGTCAGAAGATTCACTCTGCGTGTGTGTTTGTGTTTCTTCCAGGATGCAGATGATGATGTTTGTTTCCGATCTCTCAGTAAAAAAACCAGCCACAATGCTCAGCCGTTCTGCGAGGTGCCAAACCACAGCCTTCAATAACTCCTAATGCTGAGGGGAACTACCAGAGATCAGAAGCTCAGAAGACCGCCTCAAGGGTTTCTTTAGAATCAGATGACTGTTTTCTGCTGTTCACACGTAAGAATGCGCAGATAGGATTCGTTGAGTCACCTTTTTGTCAGATCAGATCTGAAGAACGCTTGTAGTGCCAGATCACCGATACACATCAAGTCAGAGGCTGGTTGAGTGAAAAAGCGACAAAAGCGTTAAAACATGGCGTCCGGTGCCACCATGGAGGCGGCGGACATTGTCGTGGTAGCCGTCTACTTCGTCCTGGTGCTGGCCATCGGCTTCCTGGCCATGTGGAAAGCCAACCGCAGCACGGTGAGCGGCTACTTCCTCGCCGGTCGCTCCATGAACTGGGCGGCCGTCGGGGCTTCTCTGTTTGTCAGCAACATCGGAAGCGAGCACTTCATCGGACTGGCTGGTTCTGGTGCTGCCAGCGGGTACAGCGTGGCAGCGTGGGAGTTCAACGCTCTGCTGCTGCTCCAGCTGTTGGGCTGGGTGTTCATCCCCGTCTACATCCAGTCCGGAGTCTACACCATGCCCGAGTACCTGTCCAAGCGATACGGAGGGCGGCGGCTGAAGGTGTACTTCGCTGCTTTGTCTCTTGTCCTTTACATCTTCACCAAGCTGTCCGTGGATCTCTACTCTGGAGCCTTGTTCATCCAGGAGTCTTTAGGGTGGAACCTCTATCTGTCCATCATCCTCCTCATCGCCATGACGGCTTTGCTGACGGTCACCGGAGGTCTGGTCGCCGTCATCTACACGGACACGGTCCAAGCGTTCCTCATGATCGCCGGAGCGCTCTGCCTTACGGGCATCAGCCTCTTCAAAGTGGGAGGACTTGAAGGTCTGTACGTCTCAGTTTTGAGCATTTACTTCCGAGTAAATAATTAAACTACACTAAACCTCGCCTGTCCGTTTCATTCAAGGTCTGAGGATCAAGTACATGCAGGCTGCTCCAAACATCACCGCCATCCTGCTGGCTTCACCCAATCTGACCTATTCTGCATCGTGCCACCATCACCTCAACCCAAAGCCAGATGCTCTGAAGATCCTTCGAGGCCCGAGGGATCCAGACCTGCCCTGGCCTGGTTTCTTACTGGGCCAGACTCCTGCGTCTATCTGGTACTGGTTTTCCCCTTTAGACTGACTTCCCGGTATGAAAGCTAACGAAGCCTGTGTTTGTTTTTCATAATCGCCTTTATCAGAGCAAGAAGCGTTTGTAAAACTTCTCAGTGGTGCTTAATGTCCTCATCTATGGCATGCTGTTAGGTTGGGAAATTATGTAAAACCAAGTATAGAATCGGGATATTAAATCAGAATTACTTTATTCTACATATCCCATTTAAACATTAAGCATCTAAACAAATGAAAGTAAAAATATCTCCATTATGTGAAGTGACTTTTTTAAGGCTGTTTCTGCTTCTAGCAACGGTTGGGCTGTTTTCACAGAGCTGCAGGATTTTATATTGCAGTGAGAAATTAAGCCACAGTGAGTAAAAGTAATAATAATTTTTTAAATATTTCCCCCGAACAGAGATGTTTTTGTTTTTCATGAATGCTATACAGTGAGATTGGGGTTATTTCCATTGAATTTCTGGAGTCCATCTGCTTTCCAGAGGAAGTGGGATCCTTGGTACTCGTCTTTAGATTCTTCAGGACAAGCTTTAGAGTCAGCTGCTCCATATGTATTATATATAACCTGCTCACAACACTGCCTGCAGTTCAGTCCAGTTCAGCCAAAACAGTCTTTCCAGTTCCCGTCACTGCCGAGTTACTCATGACTCCACGGTGACGTGAAGGAGGGCAGAGTTTCTTAGATTTTTGTTTTTTTACAAAATCTATTTCGATCAAACTAATTGTTTATTTTTGAACAAGACACATCAAAAATCAGAATTTTAAGCTGAGGAGTTCAAGGACCTTCGGAAACATGAAGATCCAGTGAGTCTTTCTTTGTGTACATTTGATCTTTTTTTTTTTAAGATGGCAGGTTTTGGTGTTTCGGAGGTTCGTTGAAATCTAAACAAAAAAATCTAAAAATATATCTGAGCAGAAGCTGTCCAATAAGCACTTTGGACAGTTCTTACACTTGTATGTTGCAGCAGGTGACATTTGTTAGTCGGCTGTAGGAAACTGAGACGAAACCCCAAATGTACCTGAACACTGGAGGTCGAGGTAGCCTGTGTAATTACCCCTCTGGGGATCAAACACTACTAAAGGTAAAGCCGGGGGATCATTGAAGGAGACGTCAGCCAATGTCTACTCACCTTCATGATCCACCCAGTCGTTGCTCAGACGTCTCAGACTGGACTCAAGAAGTGGACGGAAAGACCATTTTAAACACCCCTGGTCTTGTAACACTCCTGATTCCTGCTGTGCTAGCTAAACTTTGGAGGCAATGGGGAGTGAGCCGTCGTCTTTGTAACAATACAGCTGATGTGTTGTGTGTTCCAGGTACTGGTGTGCAGACCAAGTGATCGTACAGCGAGTTTTGGCGGCGAAGAATCTGGCTCATGCCAAAGGATCGACCGTCATGGCCGGCTTCCTTAAAATCCTGCCAATGTTTATCATCGTCATCCCAGGTAGACACATGCGTTGCTTTTGAATGACTTCTTTTTGAATCCCGACTGCAGAGTGACTAAAAGCCTGGTCTGTACATCGTCTTGACTCTAGGGATGATCTCCAGGGTCTTCTTTGCTGATGAGTTGGCATGCATCAGTCCAGAGCACTGCCTGGAGGTGTGCGGTTCTGCAGCAGGATGCAGCAACGTGGCGTACCCGCGGCTCGTCATGTCGGTGATGCCCGTCGGTCTGCGCGGCCTGATGATGGCTGTCATGATTGCAGCTCTAATGAGCGACCTGGACTCCATCTTCAACTCGGCGAGCACCATATTCACGCTGGACATTTACAAGATGCTGCGGAAGCAGGTGTCTTCCAGAGAGCTGGTGATAGTTGGCCGGCTGTTTGTCGTTGTCATGGTGATCATCAGCATCGCCTGGGTGCCCGTCATCATCGAGATGCAGGGAGGCCAGATGTTCTACTACATCCAAGAGGTGTCCGATTATCTGACTCCACCCATCGCGGCTCTGTTCCTGCTCGGTGTCCTGTGGCATCGCTGCAATGAGACGGGCGCCTTCTGGGGCGGGATGGTGGGGTTCGTCCTCGGAGCGCTGCGACTGGTTCTGGCGTTTGCTTACCGCGAGCCGCATTGCAACGAGCCCGACGAGCGGCCGTCTTTCATCAAAGATGTGCATTTCATGTACGTGGCAGCCATCTTGTTTTGGGTGACGGCTGTGGTGGCTGTAGTCGTGAGTCTCTGCACACCTCCACCCGGACACGAACAAGTCAGAACCACGACTCTGTGGGGGCTGAACAAGAGGAAGAAGCTGAAAAAGCAGGAAGCAGAGAAACCTGGAGAAGACACTTTGAAGCCTTTAAACGGAAACGGTGTCATTGGTGAAGAAAAGTGTCGCAACCAAACAAACAGGCTCAGCAGCACTGAGGCGAGTCGTGAAAACGCTCAGTCACTCAATGGCATCGAAACCCACCGTCCTCCCCAGAATGGCTGCTGTGTACCGAGTTCTGACCCCAAAATGGCAGAAGAAGGACTGAGGGGTGAGGAGGGGGAAGAGGAGGGCTGCTGTGGGGTTGCAGGAGTGGAGAGTGGACGTTGTGTGAAGGTTTTAGAGTGGGTTTGTGGCTTCCAGGAGAAACCATCCAAAGCTCAGGTCATCACAGCTCAGGAGCAGGACAAGATTGTGGACGAGCTTCTGCATGAACCTCCGGCAGCCAGAATCATCCTGAACATCGGACTGGTGGTGGTTTGTTCCGTCGGAATCTTCCTCTTTGGCTACTTCTCCTTATAGGTTCAGTGAATTCCAAGCAGTGGGACACGCTTGTGTATAACAGGAGTGGTCTGCATTTTGTTTTTCTTGTTGTTGTTTTGTTTGAAACAGCCTGGCCTGTTCTTGTAGCTGCTTTTACACTGCGTTACTTTACCATAATGTCCACATCACAGCACTGCAGCCACTGGTTCCTTCATTTGACTGATTTATTCTGACTCTACACAAGATAACAAACATTCAAGTCTACCGTGAGGTCAGAGATTGTACCCACGCCCTGCTCGTTCCTCCTAAATCGGCCTCACAGCGAATTATCATCTGATTAATTCAGATAAACCCCAAAATAGTGACTCAGACTAGTGCATGTGACATCAGTGACAAGATTTTTAAAAACCTCATAAAGGCAGGAAATTGTGGGAACATAATTTGTAATCAACACAAAATGTGGCTGGAGTGCAACTCGCAGTTAGTCATTGTTTTAAAGGGTTTCCTTGTGCAAAGTAAACGGTTCTGCTGCTTCTTACGTTCCTTTTCCTGCGAAATTGGATCTAAAATCTTCTTGTGTCTGAATTCTGCAGTTCGGCTCAGAAACTCCTGAATGGGAACAGGTGCAGGTGTTCTGCAATAGGCCTGTGTTGGATTGTGTCATGTATTTTACACTGCATGGGAAGATGATGGTGGAGCATGCTTCAGACGAGCCAGGTTGCCTTGCCGCCGCCCAGCAGCCTGTCACCACGACTTTTTCTGTACGTTTCTGAATTTTTGTCCGCTGACTGTTGGTCCCGGCCCAGTCAGCTGTGGTGTCACGGCTGCACTCAGGAGTACAATATTTTTTTAGCTTTTTTAAGAAACTGGTTGATGCACTCGGCTTATTTTTGGACAATTTTATTTTGTCAGATTTTAAGCTTAGACAGATGGTTAGTTTAAGGACCACTGGACAATTCTATCTGGTTTTGGCTCCGATTAATGGTATAATTTTGGCTTTTTGCAGTTTAGAGGGTTAAATATCCGCTGAATCTTCTGCTCCACTGGTGACCAGTAGCGACACAGATTTTTTTTTTAAAGATAAATTGAAAAATTACTGACAGATTTGAGAAACACTCGGGAAACCTTGAACACCTCCTCATCCATCCTCTGCGTTTAACATGCGTTTAAACATTGAACCTTTCTATTGCTTGGCGCTGACAATCCACGTTTCTGCAGCGACCAGCGAAGCGTCCACTTGGGGAGACTGACACAGTGGCGTTGACATGTATTCCAGTGTTCTCCAGGTTTCTCTGAACAGGGCTCATGCTTTTAGGATTTGTTTTGCTCCGTCTCTAGTTTTCTGTCCAGATCAGACGTAAGACTTGAATTCAAACCAACACTCCACATTGTGTGAATCAGCGGATCCTCCTCTGTACTGTTCATATCCTTGTGCTGTGTGGGCTGGATGCATACTTCAGGTACTGTTTAACCACTGTGTAAAACCCTAACAGCTATATAATGATAGAAAGTCAGTGGGTCAGACAGCTTAATGCTGTTTTGGGGAAGTTTTTCAGGACAACCTGCTTCGTTTATTGAGCCATCTTTGTACAAGAACAAGTTCAGGTATTCTGCTACACAACACAAATCATGCCCCGTGTTATTAGATCACATAAACAGAAGAAATATGTCTTTATATACATTTATATATATAATAGGTTTGACATTCTTCCTATTTTAACATACACAACACTAATTAGGTCGCCTAAATTAAATGAAACCTCATGTAATTAAGGATAATTCCATAGAACACAAAGTAAATGTTATTTTCTGACTACAAACCAAAATCCAAGTATTAATTACTCGTTTAATTTTGTATATGACATCTTGTTTTTAACGTAATTGGTAATTCTTTGCAACTGTTTAAAGCTTTAGCAGCTAGCATCATTTTATAAATGAAAAACAGTTCCCCCTGCAAAGCTAACGCTAACCGTGTTGAGTTTATTTTCTGCCACATTTTGCTGTGGTGAAGATGAGACAAATCACACAACATGTAATATGAAACCACACTATTTTCAGTTGACAATGACATTGTGGTTACAAGCTAACATGCTAATTTTATGAGCTTGGTGGTTAGCATGTAGCAGGCATGCTAACATATTAGCATGTTAGTTACATGTGACAGGTCATGTTGGTAACATAAAAATCCTGTCACATGTTGTTATCGTGTATAAATATTTTGTGTACATTACACGCTAACGTGTAAGTGTCGTTAGCTACGTGTTAGCATGTAACCTCCATCACTGCAAATGGTGTTAAACATGCTAAGTGTTAGCACAAGTCATAGGGTTTGGATTTTTTGGGTTTAATTCTTCAACTCTCATTCAGATATAAGACATAAAGTGTTCTTTATGTATTTCCGTGTACAGTGAGGCACATACGTACATTCCACATTCAAACATGTTTCATAACTTCAACAGACTGGACGGTTGTGACATTATTTTGTTGCTACGATAACATATCCTTCAACCTGTTCATGAACTTCATAGCGAATGTGAATTTAATTGAATTTTACTGTGACTATAACTTTTTATTTTAGTGGAAATGTGTCAGTAATCCTTAATAGTTTAAGTATCTGAAAGAGTCGTCATGTTGGACATATGGTCCATATGTGCTGAAGAAACTGAGCAACGCAACAAGTTGTGTTGTTCAAGGATGACTTTTTTTAGGAAATAAGCATTTGAGGATTTTTAAAAATTATTTTCTACGCTTATAGACCTCAGAGGGCGTCTTACACTCAAAGGATTCTATTTTTTGGATTAAAGTAATTGTGATTTATGGTGTTTCTGTGTTGTTTTGTAAGAAATGATGTGAAACCTATTTACAGATGTAAAGGGAAGGACGTCCCTCTGGCGTGACTAATCCAGGCAGTGGAGTTCGATAGTTTTTTTTTTTTTTAAATCCATGAAAGACAAGCTTTAACTCGAACCAAATTCACTGACTGGTATTTCTAAGACGGGGGATTTTCTCAGGATAAGCGAAGGTGCTGGCTCTAAGTTGTTCCCCACATCTGAGACCTCACAAGTTTTTACAAATTGTATTGCTCAATAAAAAATTGAGATGGAACTAAAGATGGGTGTCCTTTCATGATGCCATTCCAATCAGTTATCAGTTGGTGCTGATCACGTTGGAATGCTGTGAAAACTGATGTTCGCGTAGATTCGCTGTTGTCCAGGTCGTGGTAACCCTACGACGCTTCAGGTAAAGGCAATGCTCCTAGTGCTTCCTGAAGACATTTCACCTTTATCCTTCTTTAGTTCTAATTGAGCAGAGTCCCAGATATTGATTGTCACCCCAAAACCATGTGACTAGTGGTCCATGAACATGGCTGTCAACCTGCAGGATCAGGTGTGACTCAGGATGCTGGCGGTGGTGAAACGTTGTGGTTCGAGATCTCAGCACTGCATTCTAAGTACCGGGTAAGCGGTGCTGTCGACTCCCTGTGAGACGGCGGCCCCAGTTTAACATGTTTGGTGCAACACGGGAGAGGCAGGACGAGACTTATCTGAAGGTTAACGGTTTGAGAGAGAAGTTAGGGTTATGGTAAACCAGAGCAGCCATCTCTACACACAGGAAGACGTCTGCAGCAGAACTAGCCAGGTACTTACTTAGATCTCACATGGGAAGTGTCACCAACGCCAACATCTTCAATCATCCCTGACCTTCCAGTTTGTGAATCTTGGTTCACTGATGGGCCTTTGGACACGTGCTTTGGGGTTACTGTACATGTCTGAAACTCCTCATTTGTCAGAGCTGCAGAGGCCTCATGGATGAGAGGTCAAACGTCTTCAAGAAGAAGTCCCGTTTTAATGCTCGTACCTGCGTCTTAGTTTTTTGAATGTTCCACCACAACTGTTCCCTCGTTTGCAGGTCCACCCTGTCCTTAGGTGATCATGAGAACAACATGAACCAGAATGCAGGTGCGATCAAACCATTCTCCAGCTCTGGCACAGCGCAGTGGAGAAAATTACACGTGCCGCCGTGAAAGTGATTGCAATTCATTACTGGCAAAATGTCAAAGCAAATGTTTCACAACGGACCACCCGAGGCAATGGCATGCTAATAACCGGCAGGCTGTGATGAGTAAAGCAAACTCCATGTTCTCTATGAAAAGCCACGACAACAAGCGAGCATGCTCAGTGAAGATGACATTAACAACAGCCTCTGCCACGGTGGAAAGTTACAGGCTGAAGGTGGAAAGTTACTGGGCAGTTTCCACACAAGCTTAAAAAAGAAAACAAAAAACAAAACAGGTCTGAGTGTTGATCTCTTACCAAGACGATGCCACTATAAATAAAAACCGAGCATTATGACACAAGACTGGAAACTTATATGCGGCGTTCTTGTGACGTGTTTCGATACAGAAAATATTAGTCGACAGATGAAGAAAAGGTTTCTGTCTGGAGTTGAAGTGGCGCCAACAGGAGCCCTGCAGGAATCTTTTGCCCATTATCTGAAATATAAAGAAATATTCTTGAAGATCTCATCAAAACAAGCTCGTGCCACGTTTGTGGGGATGAAGGAGTTTGCACAGTTGCTTTGCAGCACTCTTTAAAACTAATGATTGGGCTCAACAACAGCAAAAATATGGCATCAATCCTCCAATGAAATGATAAAAAAATACACGGATTCTTCCTCTCCAGTCACTGCTTGGTCGCATAAACACAAAGTTTTAAGTTGGATTCTCTGAAAATTTGATTGGACCAAGTCGTATTTTAACGTTTTAGAGAGGATTTTTTAAAAATTACTCAATTATCCTAATTAAGAACACAAGTTATTAAGTTTGTAGATTTAAAATATTAAGTGGCTCCAGCGCAAAGTAGGTAATAGAGGTGATGAAAAATGGAGCCAATTTTATTGAGTTAGGCCAACTTAAATTTAGTCTCACATCAACTAACAGAAATTTGACTTTGAAATGCACACAGTGGTAATTTGATGCAACATTATGATCTCAACATAAAAGGTTTTCCTAATTGGTGAATCAGGACTCTGATCTTGCAGTCGAGCATTTAATTGAGTGGTGGGAACAGGTCCCTGGAGTGACTTTTAACAGTGCAGTTTGATTGATTTTTGCTAATAAGAGTTTTGTTTTCACAGCTTGGTGTCAAAGTGAAGCTGTCAAGAAAAGCCTGTACAGAACCGGAGTGCAGGACAGTTTATGGACGGTTTGCTTCCTCTTGAGCCAGATCACACAAATAAGACGTGAAGATGAAGTGACGTGTACAAATATTAACACTCTTCTCAAACACGTCCTGTCCATGTGTGCAGGTCTAAAACGGGCGGCTCGGTGGCAGCTGCCAGAAACCACCGAAAACACGAATACGTCAAGTTTGCGTTTGTGGTTAAAAACCTACAACTTTCTCGGAATTCATGTTGAATCTTGGTCGCCTACCGCTGCATCCGCTGGAAACAGAAGCCACCAGCAGAGCTTCCCCTTTCGGGCAGCTCGGCCTCCAGGCGGCTGAAAACTGAAGTTATGCCTTTTAAATGTAAATGCACTTATATCCAAAGCTCTTTACGATGTGTTTCTCATTCACACACCAGTGGCGACGGAGCTGCCATGCACGGTGCTGCCTGCCAACCTCGGGTTCAGCGTCTTGCCCAAAGAGGGGCAGGAGATTGAACCACCAACCTTGTGACTGGAGGACAACCAGCTCCACCACCTGAGCCACAGCCGCCACCTTTAATCACTATCACGGGTCAAACTGCTCAGTTCAAAAAACACTCACGTAAAAAACCCAAAACGACAGAAAACAAAGCCTCCATACTGCTATGGTCAAAAACTGTAAAAGCTTTAAATTAACAAGATGTCTGCAGAATAATGAGATTTATGCAGTCGTTTTATTGTCTCTCTCTGTAAAAGAATGAATTTGTTAAAAACGTTCACCTCATCAGGACTTTTGATGTTTTTCGGTTTATTTTTGAACAGTCAACTTGGAAATTGTTTTTTTTTTTAGTTAAAATAAAAACTAAATATTAAATTGTTAAAAAATAAATAAAAATGCTGTTAAAAACTTTTAGACAGTTCCTACGTTTGCAAAATGTCCCTAAAAAGAAGCTGTTATTATTTGACTTCCCTACAAAGAACTCCATGTGACCGTGTGCCGTCTGGTCTCTTTGCTTTTTGAAATGTAAAAGTTCACGACTTCCACCGTCTCGTCTGCTGTTTGCTCACGTCAGCGAGAAGACAGTGTTCGGAACATTTGTGGTTAAGTTTTGGGGATTTTTTTAAATTTTAAATTTATTGTCAGAAGCTGACAGAAGTGTGCTGTGGGCGAAGGTGTGCACAGGTACTGCATGTACTTTAAGATCATCAGGGAGGCCTTTCATTTATATTTATGTCATGTATGTGTTAATACATGCTGTCAGACGGGGGAACTCTGTGAATTCTGTCACTGATGTTCATGTTAGAACTGTGGACCCACTTCTAACCACTGATCTGGATGATAAATACTCTGAATGTATTTGTGTGTGAAATGTTGTGGAACATTTTGTGTCACATTTTTTTTATTTTTTTTTATCTTGCTCTGGAATTTGAAATAATTCACAAGTAAAAACTAGCACTGGGGGGAAAGTAAAGCAAAATGTTGTTGCTCATTTTCGCCACAAGTGGGAAACCTGGCTCCAAACAGTCGTCCTGATGGTTCCACTGAGAAGATCCTGACATGAAGCTCAGCACCGGCTGCACTGTGCTGATCAATACATGTCTGTTGTCATGCTGTAAAAGTCTCAGGATCAGAGTGTGACTTTTATAAAGATTTACAGCACGGCCAGCTCTCTGGTGAACACAAATCAAAACATAAAGCTGTTATTTTCTGACACAAGTTTAAAGATTGGGGTGAGGAGCCGCTCGTGTTATTTATGTTGTGAGTTCACCTGAGTGATTTACATATGAGGGAATAAAACCTTAAAATAATATTAAATACTACTTTATCTGACAGTAGTACATATTAGGGTTATTATAGTGTTATTCACAGAGAGCAACAGAATTTAGAACTGAAGCTGTAACCCTCCATGAGCAGCTTTGTGTTATTTTATGTGTATTATTTTATTTTATTATCTTATTTGCATTACTGTATTATAATGAAGACAAACTGACCTACAATGTGCTCTACTGGAATACATATGAATTAATCTATTTATTTTTAGCTGTTTAACAGAAAACAGTGACGGTATAACGGAGGTGTTGTGCCCCTGCAGAACAGAGATGCCTTATTATTATTTTCACGTGTATTATTTATGTTTTTTCTTTCTTTTTTTCCTTTACGAAACTATAACAAGGTAAATGGACAATCTACAACGTGCTCCACCGAAATAAATGTTTAAAAAAAATAATCTTTTCCCTTTTTTTAACCATATAACATGAATATCGCGAGAAACTACCATCAAACTCTCGCGATATCTGGATTAATAACATTTTGCATGCGTCCGTGAAGTTAGCGAGTGGCAACCAGATGCAGCCAGGAAGTAAATAAAATAAAACTAATATTAATTTAGAGTAACGAACCCTTTAGCATACCACAATGGGATGTAAATATGTATTGTCCGTGTGCTGGATAATATATTGACACGTTTTTACATGTTTTTAAGTTAAAAAAAACACAATATTGAGTCACATTTGCTTGCGATGCTATGATTTTACACAAATATTACACATAATAAAATTGATATTTGATTCTACACATTTAAACACTGATTCGAGCATCTTTTTTGTTTTTATTTAGAGTTAGTGAAGTATTAAATTTACATTTTGTTGTCGTGAGGAAGCTTTTATTTTGGCGTCCCCCGGTGTTGCGTCGTGTTCTCTTCGCGCTAACTTGACGGCTCCATAACGGCTTCATCTCTGCTTCAGCTGAAGAGCAAACCGACATCAGCTGAGTTTGCACGAAGTATCATCCTTGAAGCTAAAGTGCAGGAATTTAGCACCGCTGTAAATCCATTACTAGCGTTTCACAAAGTTTCGTGTGACTGCTTAGCCGATTGCAGCAACTGTCATCCGTCGTAACCACAGAAACGGGGAAGAGGCAGAAGGAAAAATAACATTACATCAAACCCGGCAAACAAAGAGGTCCTTTTTTCAACGGCAACATTTTTCCTCCATATTCTATAGTTATGAGTCATGTGGCCGTCGAAAATGCCCACGGTCTAGAGCAGCAGGTAAGCGGCGTCCGCTCCGTGTGTGTTGCAGCGTCAGTTGATGAAAAGTGAAATAACGGGAGGGATAAACGTTAGCTTGCCGGCTAGCCTAACACCGCTAGCCAGATGCTATCGTGCTAGCTAGCCGTGGGTGCGCTTCAATTTCACGCTGAAAGGCGGCAGCGGAGCGGAGGGCGGGCGGTGTCTGTGCCAGCAGCGCTGCGTGTGCTTTATTTTCAAGTTGTGTAAACATTCGCTGAAGCTGCAGCGTCCAGTGTGACAGCTGCCTTATCAGCGTTGATCATTAAAACGCAGGGCGGAATTAGATATGACGCCCAGGTAGGCACCGCCGGCTGCCCCGCGTGAGCATATGAAACGCACCCGTCAACTATTATGTTCACTGCGTTTGTCTTGCAGCTTGATACGGTAATAAAATGGAGGTGTGCGGGGATGGAGATAGCGGGGCTGACACGCAAACAATGCGGCGCTAGGCAGTTTAGCGCACCGGCTTTCACGTAATACGCAGTAACATATAGTTTTCATGCTGCGTCCCGCTTTAAAAAAAATGGTCATTTCTTCTGCGTCACCAGCAACGTAGTCTGGCGGTGTCTGACTGGTCAGACAGTTGGATGGCAACAGAAAAGTACTGCATGTCCCCGGTTGATATTTTGGAAAGGTCCATTTGGCAAAACGTCCACGAAGGAGTTGGATGCGCAGCACTGGCCCAGTTCGGACAGAATTACCCATCCTGCTGTGTTCGGTCGGGATGCAAGGAAAAGCTGCAGTAGGAAGTTTGGAGGCAGAAAACAAGTGGTGTTGCAGAAAAGCAGCCCCTCCTCTCCAGAGCAGCTTCTGGGATTGGATCTGAACATCTGAAGTAGTTTCCTAGACAGCAGCGAGACTGACGATGCTGGAAAAAACAACTGACATGTTCTGCTGTATTTATCTATATTTATCTATATATAAACGTGTGTGTTGCAGTAAGAGAAAAAATGTTTGCACCAGATGGCGAGTTGGGAGGAATGAGTGAAGGATGATTTTGCAGGGAAGTGCACAGGCAGAGAAAATACAAGTAATAATAATCATAAAAAAGAAGCTGTTTGGATCGTAGCTCATATGGTATCACATTTTTTGCCTTGGGTGGCTTTTGTGCAGAGCTTTGTGGGGTCAATTTAAATATTCAGAAATGATTTTTTGCAATTGCAAGACGCTGCTGACAGAGTTTTGTGTCGCCCTCTCTGTAGCCCAGACGTTTCCATGAGACTGGTTTCTCCTCCCTCGTTCATTCTGCTGTGCACATGTGGAGTCTGCATGTCAACAAACTCTGTGTCTTTTACGTCAAGTTGAGCTCGATGTGTCTGAACACAGTCAAATCAGAGTAAATGTGGATCCTCTGGTGGATCAGTCACAGGAAGCAGCAAAAATAGTTGTAGCGTGACGTGTTGGAGGTAAATTTCCTGACTTTGTGATGCGACTGAAACGGTGTTTTACGCAGCCGTACATACCAGCATGAAGCCTTTTGCCTGTCATCACACCAGCTGTGGCTGTGTGCAGTTCACTGACGTCATCATCGTGGGATTTCTGCACGTTGAGGCTCAAACCGTTTTCAAACTAACATGCAGTTCGGCTTCTGTCTGGTGCTTGTGAAGCAAAACTTTGGCATAAAGAATAAACATGTTTTTCGTTTGCTCTGTATAAAAAAAATAACAACAACAACAACCAACACTTGATCTTTGCTGGTACAGTTTGGTGACGCATTCAGGGAGCTGGTGCCCATCTGCTCTTTTGTACATTTTTGATTTGCTTGAACAAATGCAGCATGAAACCAAACATCCAGCTCCTGGGAAAGAACATAGTTGGTGGCTGATAGAGAGAAGACATGTTAAAGATTTGTCCAGTCAACAGTGACCTCCTTCCTATTAGCCAGTGAAAGCCCAGAAAATGGGGAATCAATAGGGGGAGTAACACAAGTATCGCAGTGTGTGTGTGTGTGTGTGTGTGTGTCAACCGAGGAGACGAATCGATTTAGGACGACGACAAATGTCTGACATGGGAAACGGCGGTGAAATGTCACGATTTATCAGAGCTACGGAGGAGTTACTCAGGTGCTTTTAATAATGCAGCGCTGTTGGAGTTTCCACCACAACTCATGGACGTTTGTAGCCTCACCTCGCCTCACCTGTTATTAAAATATAACTCAGTTTATAAGGTTAAGTTGCGAAATGTGGAGCCACTGGGTGGAGATGTCCGACTCCATGAAGCTCCATATTGTTGCTTGTTCTGCTAGAAATGACAGCTTTGAGTCTTCTCCTGACTCCGTGTTGTTTTTTTTCCCTTTTAGCTCGCTGTCCTAGACTTGAGCGCTGCAGACGGACAAGGTGGAGGAACGAACAGTAAGCAGCCAGCACGATTTTGTTAGACATTTTCCTTTTTTCTTGATAAAATAAACAATGTGGGGGGAATGTTTTACAGTTTAAATGCACAACTAACCCAAGAAATACGCTGTGATGACTCTGGAAATGTATGTTCTGTATGCATGTTGGGTCTGTGTGGGCGCTGCATGAATGATTTAAGTCTTTAAACTTTAATTCACTACATGTTGTCGCTTTACCATCACATGATGATTTTTTAATTTTGTTTATCCAGTTGTGATTCAAGGATGCAGCATTTTGTTTGTGTTTTTTTAAATGCAGTTGGTCGAGGAAACGTTTTTATTTTCTGGTTTTACGTCAGAATGCAGAAATGATGTGGTGAAGTTACACTTCAGTTTCCCAACAAGCGATTTCCTCTTGTGCTCTGTTCTGTTGCACTTTCATGAGCTTTCATCACCACAGTGCGTCACGGCGGCGGCGGCATCAGCTGTGAAATGGTGTCATTATTTAGATTCTGTATGATTCAGTGCACCATAGACGCTGTAACTGATACTGGATGTCGTCTATATCTCCTTGTATCGCAGGGCGATACATTCCTCCACATTTACGGAACAAAGACGCTTCCAAAAATGGTGAGTGGCGTCAAGTTTCATGCATCAGGTTTTAATTTTGAATCATACATTGTTTTATCCGAGTTTACAAGCTTTTGGTCCTCATCTTCTTCCTTTGGTTTGTTAGCATTTGGCTTTTTTATGTTCCTGTTAAACCAAACGGAAGCCACTTATAAAAACTTTGTTGAAGAGCAAAATCTCCACAAGGTGTCTTTCTCGTAACTGATCAAACCCACAACTGAAAAGTCGTGTTTCCTTCCAGCAGGAAATGCCTTTGCTGCGGGACGACAGGGCGGCTACACCATCGCGCCCGCGACCAACTGTGAGTTCATCTCTGACCTTCTGCTCATTTCATGTTTAGATTCTCTATTTGAGTTTTCACGTTAGAAGACCTCTGCCTTCATCCTGAGTCAGCTGGGATAGACTCCAGCCCCCCCCGCGACCCTGGTGAGGATGAAGGTGGAGAGATAATGGATGGATGTTAGACGACAGTTGTTGCTCTCGATTGGCTGAAATCGTACCGACTTCTAAACCAATTTATTGGTCACGAGGGGCAAAGAAAATCCAGTTCAAGTCATTTTAAGGCACCTCACACAGTAACGCGACAACATTACAATACAGAGAGAAATCCAACCCATCCAACGATTCCCTTCGTGCAAGATCCGTTTGGCGAACAGTAAAAATTCCCCTTTCACAGGAAGAAGCATTCAGCAGAACCAGGCTCAGAGAGCAGACATCTGCCTCGACCTCAGATAATACGACAATCAACACCTCAGAGAACAAGAGAAACCCGAATGGGCCACAGTGCGCTCCACTAGCTAGCCGTATCTGCCTGAATCAATTTAAATCGACACAAAAAAAAATAGTATTTGCAGCATATTGAATCATTTTAATCTTGTTATTTAAGATCAGACCTCCTGCTCATGTGTCAACAAGGAGAGATCACATGAAAGTAGATATCAAAGGTTTATTGCAGAAACAGGAGCATGCTCGCTCAAAGTGTTTTGGTGGAGCCCCAGACGAAGGCAGGGCATTATGACGGGAATCCCAGGAGTCCAGATGATGGAGGTGGTGCAGCAGAGTTAGCTGACGGCTAACAGAGACCAGCTGAGACACCTTGAACACCCTGGATGAGGTGGAGATGGAGGAGCATGGACTATAATGCACTTAAAGAACCGAGTCTTCAAGTTGATTGGCTTGAAAAACACGGACTGTTGGACGAGTGTAGGGACGCTGAGAGTAAAGGGATTTTTGTCTGTAATTGACGGAACGTGAGCAAACAGATCCTAGTCATCGAACACAGACAAGCTAGCTGCTGTTTTAGATGATCTGACATGTTGGTTGTTGAGCTGAGACACACAAACTGCTGCTGACTTGATGCCGTCGATTTGAACCAAACGCAGCGACACCGACGACTTCTCTGACATGATGTCTGTTCGGAGCAAACTCCAAGTAAACTTTCAGTCATTAAGTAGTTCAGTGTTGTCAAAGCGTTGGGATGTTCACAGGTAATCGGTCAACCCTAGAAGGCTGTTGACGTAGCGCTTGTGTTTTCATGAAAGTAACACCAGTGACTATCCGACCAATATTAGCATCTCCAGCCGGAGAAAACAACCCGTGATCGTTATTTAACAGGTGGCGCCACAGGGACGCCGGTTCTCTGAGGTCGCGCTTTACCGTCCTGAACAGTAAAGTCCGTCGGCGCTGCAGGAGCAAGTCGGAGGTAGAAGCCTCCAGACGCTACTTTCTGCAGCACTCGTGGTCGTACGCTTGTTTGTTGAACAGTAAAAAACTCCCTTCATGAACCTGGCAGTTAATCATCGTGTTAATTAATTAATTAATCCACAGCTGTGTTTTTTTTCTTTCTTTATACGTATTGTTTCATAACACGTTGAAAACGACTGACAACGCCGCTGTGGTTAACGGACCATGTTTGGTTTCCCTGTGACCTCACAGACGGCTGGGACGGGGGCCGCAACAACTTCGTCAACGGCTACCACGACAACCGCATGGCCGGCAACTCGTTCAACCGCGGCCCGCCTCGCATGGAGCGCGGGAGGGGCGGCGTCGGAGGAGGCGGTTACCGCGGCAACAGGGGCGGCGCCTTCAACCCCATCAACCCAGCACAGCCGATGAGCTTCGGTGGGTACCGGAACAAAGGTGGCGTTCAAGTCTGCAAGCTTGAGGGGGGGCAGTGCCAGAGCCAGACAGCCACAAATATTTAACTTTTTATTTTAAGCAGCAACATCAGGATGTTGGGATTGGTACAACTGGCAAAGAGAAACTGCCTCAGATCGTTAGAGTCAGGAGAGGAAACGGGACACGATGCAGCGTTCATGAATAAGCGGTGCAGGACAGAAGGGGGGGAGGATGGTGAAACACTTGTGATCCCACTTTTGCTGCCACAGAAGTTTTCTTTTATTTAATAACAGCCAGAGTGACCTGAAAAACATCAAAAGAAAAACGCTTCGGAGCAAACTTCTCTCCTGTTTCAGTTCAGAGAGGCGCTGAAGTCGTCGCCTCGCTGTTGACGCCGTACACGTGAAAGTGCATCTCTAACGTTTGTGCATCGGTTCTCCCGTCAGACGCAGGTGGCTGGAACACCGCCAAGGAGGCCTACAGCAGCTTTGGCAATAACCGAGGGAAGTCTGCCTTCTTCAACGACAGAGGCAACGCGAACAGAGGGAGGTGAGACGGACCGAGTAGCTTCAGAGTTGTTTCAACGAGCCACAGAACATCTCGTCACATGATGCATAATTAACAGCATGAAAAGTCCTGTACATGTAACTACAACTGCAGTAAAATAAAAATACCACGACAGCTGAGGATGAGATGAGAGAAACTTTATTGATCTCTCACCGGGGAAACGAACACGTTACAGCCGCCGGATACGACCGAGGCAAGACAGGAAACACAAACGCGCAGTCAGGCCAAACAAATGATTTACCTGCAGTGTGTGACAGCTCACCTCTCATTCTGATTTGATTCCATGTCAGGAATAATTATATAATTATACATAATTTATTTATTGCTGCTGTCTGAGGCTGCAGGTATTTAATCAGCTCAGAGGAAATATTCCCAACCAGCTGGAAGCAACAGGACCTCAGCTCCTGTTCACCTTTTATCAAATCCTGTATGATTAGATGATTTTATACTCGTTAGTCTGAGCTGTTGCAGACTCTTTCTTCATTGCAGACGAGTTTTATTTACATTTCAACAGATGTGTGAAGTGTTTAGGTGTTGAAATGTGAAACAGTTTTCCCCGAATTCCTTCAGAAAACTCGCCGTACTCTTGCTCGTGCATCCGTTAATGCGACTGGCAGTGTTGACAGTGAAACGTCACCAAGTCCAACCTTGTAAGATTGTGTTTTTTGTTTTTTTTTGTCTCACGGAAAAGTGAGCAGGGCGCTTATTCAGCAGATTAGCAGGAAGGAGTGCACTTCTGAAAGGGGGCTTTGTTTCCTGTGTGCTGCGTTCAGGTTCGAACACGGTGGATTCGGCGGCGGAGGAGGAGGAGGAAACAGCCGCTGGGTGGAGGAGTCCAGAGATGATGGAGACTGGTCCAAGCCGACGCCACGCAACGAACGCCTTGAACAGTGAGTGTGTGCTTTAACAGGCCAGAAACGATGCGTCCAGATCAGGAGAGTTGTGCCGCTTGTCAGGGAGAGATCAGGCAAAGTGTTCACAGGAGGTGTTTAGATTGATTGTTGTTGATATTGTTCAGGTTTCATTGGGTCTCGAGTAACGAGTTGGATTTAGGGAACGACAGCAGTAGTTCATGGATCATTTGAGCTGCAGGTGCCACCCAGCAGAAGTTTATCCTTGAAGACATGTAGACTATAGCAACATATAACAGGAATATAACAACCTGTAACTTACCAACAGTGATCAGTAAGTTGATCGGAAGATAATCAAAGTCGTTGTGAGTGAAAAACGGCAATAATTAAACCAAAGAAGTTGGTGTAATAACTCACAGAGGTGTGTTTTCTGAACGTTGCACTGACGCCCGCTGTTCACTCCTCTGCAGCGAGTTGTTCTCCGGCAGCAACACCGGCATTAACTTTGAGAAGTACGACGACATTCCTGTCGAGGCCACCGGGCAGAACTGTCCTCACCACATTGAGAGTGTAAGCTGCTCCTGTCAACAGGGAACCCAACAGCTTTGGAATACACACCGGCCGCACGCTTGTAAACGTTTCCGTTTTTTGATTTGACAGTTCCAAGATGTGGACATGGGCGAGATCGTCATGGGCAACATCGCTCTGAGCCGCTACACCAGACCAACCCCTGTCCAGAAATACGCCATTCCTATTGTCAAGTCCAAGAGGGACCTCATGGCCTGCGCACAGACGGGTAGCGCACAAACGCAGCACGACACTGAAGTTAGACTCTGGAGATGTTGCCATGAAATGAGGAAATGCACGAGGTCTGCTTTGTGTCTTTAGGTTCTGGGAAGACGGCGGCGTTCCTGCTGCCGATTCTCAGCCAGATCTACGCCGATGGACCAGGAGAAGCTCTGAACGCAGCCAAAGCCTCCGGACAGGTGAATGATAAATGTCCTCATAGAATGGATTTAAGCAAAATGAACAAATGATAAAGCATAACCAGCCAATGGTTGTAACTGTTGTGCTCTACTCAGGACCACTAACATACAAGACTGTGTCTAGTGTCCCCAGACAAACCAGCAGGTCCACTTAAAGTCAGTGAACGGGGACTGTGTGTCTCAGTTTGTCTCTGGACCGTTGAAGAAAAGCTTCTCATGTCTTAAATCAACACATTAAATAGGTTTATTATTTTAGTGCAAGTATAATGATGGTTTCAACGTCAACAAATGTCAACATCTGTGTTTCTGGATGAAGCTGCATCCAGCACATGAGCAGTTCCACTGATATCATGTGTTTGTGTCTTTTTCTCTGATGGATGCTTCGTCTACCAGCTTCAGCAGACTTTAGCGCTCGTGTTTGCTCGTGTTGAACGTTGAATGGAAGAGCTTTTTCTGGATAGTAACATAGGTTAGCGATGTGCAACTCACCCAGGACCAAGCAGCAGTTAGCACTCTTGAAATCAGGACAGTTTATATCGTGGTTGCTTCAGAAGATCTTGGCTCGAGTCACTGAGTCCTGAGAGGTGCTGACCTGTAGGACTGTTTGTTTATCTGCGATGAGATAAGTTTGCAAATGAGGCATGTGCGTGACCCACCAGCTGCAGGCTTCTCTCATCAAACCCCCCAAAAACCAACGCTTCTCTCAACCCCGCTGCCATGTTCTCGCTTGCATGATCAGTGGACAAACATTAGCAAACAGGACTTAGTTCAGGCTTCGTCTGTTGTAGCTGCGTCGTGTTCCACCAGAACATCTCTGTGGGCCTTTTTCTAATAGTCGCAAACCTGAGAAAAACTATGCGTATGAAGGCGTTACATGCTGCATGTCCAGCGATCGGTCACATTAGTGGGTTCTCTCTGACATTTGTGTTAATCTCAATGGGTCTTTCCTGGTTAAATAAAGGTTAAACAAACATTTGGAAACTTCCTTTTTTCGTGTAATACTCATAAAAAGATGCGTGGTGCTGGTTTAAATCATCACATAAATCAGTCACGTGGCTTCGTGGAGCAAACAGAATACCTGGTCAGCATCGTCAACCACATCTCCTGCTCCTCATTCTTTTTGCTGAGCACGTGTGTCTCTGAAATTAACTTAAAAAAACAACCCAAGAACTCCTAAATTCTGTTCAGTCAGACAGGCTACTCTTGTAGATCAGTCACGGAAGATGAGAAGTGACTTTTCTTTTTACATCAAGCAGTGAAACACGCTGCAGCGCGAATGTTTTAGTTCCAAACCAGCTGAGCTCCGCTGTGTAAATTTCTGACAAACACGAGCTGTTGTCGTTGCAGGAGAACGGGAAGTTCGGGCGTCGTAAGCAGTACCCCATCTCCCTGGTCCTGGCTCCGACCAGAGAGCTGGCCCTGCAGATATACGACGAAGCCAGGAAGGTATGTACAAGCACACGCACACTTCAGCCTGAAATACTGCAAAATGGAAGCGCGTTCACGGTCATGCAAGCCATTTATGTGTGAAGTGATGCTGACGAATTACTGAGAAAGTTCTCCAGGAAGGAGTCGGATGTGTACGGTGGTTGTGACAACACAGACGCAGAAATAGGACGGAACTAAATTCTAATGACGCAGAAGTTCTCATTGGGTGCAGTGAAATGTTGGGAGGCAACACCACCGAATGAACAAAACACATTTAAAGAATAAGTAGCCTCCTGTGCTCACAATAACGTATGAGATAACATTTCACATCCTTAAAATGTGGATACCGTGTTATTGTTGGGCACACAGACGACAAAGTCCGTACAGTACAAAATATGAATACAAAACCCGTCTAATAAAGATGCAGGTTTTAAACACTTGCTGCGTTCTTGCCAGTTTTCCTACCGCTCCAGAGTGCGTCCCTGCGTCGTGTACGGAGGAGCCGACATCGGCCAGCAGATCAGAGACCTGGAGAGAGGCTGCCATCTGCTGGTGGCCACACCTGGAAGACTGGTGGACATGATGGAGCGAGGCAAGATCGGACTGGACTACTGCAAGTAAGGCGACAGACCAGAACCAGGGCTGAATATATGCTTCCTAAAATATATACCACAACTCCTTTCTCTTCCTCTGTTCGCTGCAGCTACCTGGTCCTCGATGAGGCCGATCGTATGCTGGACATGGGCTTCGAGCCACAGATCCGACGCATCGTTGAGCAGGACACCATGCCACACAAAGGCATCCGACAAACCATGATGTTCAGCGCGACGTTTCCTAAAGAGATCCAGGTATCAGCTGGAGCTTTTTGTGAATCTGAAATTAAAAGACAAATCTATGCGGTTCTGGTTTCAACTGGTTTGAATCCTGTCTTGCTGAGTTTTTAGTAAAATGAATTATGGTGTTCCTCAGGGTTCCATTTTAGGTCCAACAGTTTTTTAATCTGTGCATGCTACGTCCTCAGGAGAATCATTTTCCGTAGTTACGCTGACGACACACAGCTGTACATCGCCGTGTCTCCCGGTGGCCAATTGATGCCCTTGCAAACTGTATTTTAGACATTGATTCATGTCTGGCAAAGAACTTTTTACAGCTCAACCAGGACAAAGCTGAGGTCCTGGTCATGGGAACTGAAGCTCAAAGAGACGAGCTCAGTTCACAACTTCAAGCTGTGGCTTTAAAACTGTGCACGCAAGTTAAAAATCTTGGACTTACGTTAAAGATATAACCAAGAGGGCTTTTTATCACTGAGAAACATTGTCAGATTGCGACCAGTCCTCTCTAAAACTAAAGCAGAGACACTGTTACATGCCTTTATCACGTGTAGGATTGGTTACTAGAATGCTCTCCTGTCTGGTCTCCCTAATAAGACGACAGTTAATGAGAAGTGCTGTTTACGTAAAGTCTGACTGATCAACACTTTGCTCCTCCTGCAGATCCTAGCGAGGGACTTCCTGGAGGAGTACATCTTCCTGGCCGTGGGCAGAGTGGGTTCCACCTCGGAGAACATCACTCAGAAAGTGGTGTGGGTGGAGGAGAGCGATAAGAGGTCTTTCCTGCTGGACCTGCTCAGCGCTACAGGTGAGACAGCCTCCCAGCAATGACGACCTTCACGTGTTCCAACACCGAGAGACACATGAAACACGTCTGCAAACACACATAGACTCACACACACCTGATGCCGTTTGAGTTTCCCTGTTCATCATCATATTATCATTCTCACATCTCAGCCAACACATGCTACATGTTTTCGCCCGATGTAATGTCCGTGAACGTCCTCTGTCTTTGGAAGAGTTCAGAAGTCAGTAGTCATTCATACTGTTAGCCGTTGACACTCACCAAATGGTTTGGTTTCAAGTGCATTTCGCCTCTGTTAACCCTCTGAACCTCAACCTGCCGGCAGGATTCAAACTTTCACGCTGCCTTTAAAAAAAAACTGTAAAAACAGACAGAATTGCTGTTTTTTTTGTTTTTTTTTTTAACTTTACAAACTGACTTAAACTAACCACGTGTGACGTTCCATTTTGTTAGAAAAATTTAACAAATCTAAGCTTAAAATCGTGATATTTATTCAATAAAACTGTGAAAAACAAGCCAGATTCGGTTAAAATAAAAATAAAACACTAACAATAATAATAATTCTGCGCTCCTCTGTGAAACCAAAAAGCCGTTTGTGGCTCAGATGTGACCAACAATAGCGAGAGGAAAATTTTTTCAGGTTGAACTGCAGGCAGTGTTTCCTCAGAAATCCAACCAATGGGATCAATGAATAAACGCATCACTGCTCAGAACCAGTGAACAGAGAGGCCAGTTGTTGGAGAAACATCCAGCACGGTGGAACATCTTTCTGGAAATTATGTGCAAAGTTGAGAGAAAACGTTTGTAGAGGCTGGAGATAGTGAAATATCTGTAGTATGTACAGCCGCTTTTTTCACGATTGGAGACAAACGTGTCCACAAAAAAAAAAGCCCAAAAATGACAAAATCAGAAAAATGAGACCCAAAACAAGAGAAACGGGAAACGAAATAAGACACAAAACCTACTGGAGTGATAAAATCGATGCAGCGTGGCTCAGAACCAGTGACCAGAGGAGCCCTTTTTAGAGCTGATGTGCAAAGTCGTGTGAAAACCCCCCGAGTTTGTAAATGTCTATCATGCAGCTAGTATGTTTTCCAGTGTAGGTAACACCGTGGCCACTGGGTTTCCCAATTTTTGTAAATAAACTTTTCACTTTATTGTGATTTATAACATAACGGTGTCGTACTGCACAGAAGAGTTTTTCTATACGTCTGGCCAAGATTGTGCCGTTTCCATAGAGGCTGCAGGACTTTATGAGCCAGCAGTGAGTGAAAATGTGACGGGGAGCAAAAACAGCACAAGAACTGTAAAAACGGCTACGCGCTGCTTGGGGTTCAGAGGGTTAAATGAGGAATATTAGACGTACGAACTTGGTTTTCGACTGGTTACTGAGTGCAGTTTACATGTCGGTGGTTTGGTGTGGTTTTATCCCAAGTCATCCCCAGCGAGGTACAGGACAATACTGGAGACAACATAGAGAAACCTGGTAAGAGCCTCAATCAAGAACCTTTTATCTGTCATTTCATATTTTCAGTAGCTGTGCTTGACTTTACAATTCCTCTCTGTGGATGGAGAATCCCTTCATCGTTCAGCTGATTTAGGTTCTGTGTATCATTTCACCGGTCAGTTCTGCTCAGCTTAAACTGCCTGTTGTTGTTGTTTGTTTTTTTTAATTATTGTTATTTTATTTTTTTTTATAGCTCATGAGTTTATTGTGGCATCTTTATGTACAGTTCTGTTGCTGTGGTGTCGTCATGTCAGACATGTAGCCTTGATGGAGAGAGTCTGGTCATGTTGCACCGGTGCTATTGAAATACGGGCCGATTAGTGACGTTGATGGACCACCAAGGAGGAAAACAGTGACCAAAGTCTTTCCATCAGTGGCTCCAGTAGTGCCTGCATGAAACCAAAGTGCTGCTGATGCTGTTAGTTCCGTTTATTTGCTGATTACTGGTCGTTTTAATCCACACTGCACCTCCTGCTGCCTGCTGTTACATTCATAGACGGACATGTGATGTGTTTAGTTTAAACGAACCTGCATGCGTCACATCATGGACTGCACCACCTTTAGATGTAGACACGCAACCTGCAGAGAGGGCTGTGATTATACACCCGATGTGATTTTAAACACACCACAGGATGTGCAGTACACGAGGGAAGCAGCTTAATTTTGCCATTTTGTCGGCAGAATTCATCTGGTTTCATAGATAATTGATCTCGTAGGTTCAGAGCAGCAGAGCTACAGCTCAGCTTCCTGTGTTAATCCTTGACTTTCAGCTCCTCAGCTCATTTGTCTTGACCCAGAGTTTAGTCCACAAACAGTTTGTAATATTCAGGCCAGACACAACGCAGCCCTCCTCCTCCGAGCGTTAACCTCAGGTGTCATCTGTCTCGGTTGACCAGGAAAGGACTCGCTGACTCTGGTGTTTGTGGAGACCAAGAAAGGCGCTGATGCCTTGGAGGACTTCCTGTATCGGGAGGGCTACGCCTGCACCAGTATCCACGGCGACCGTTCCCAGCGGGACCGAGAGGAGGCCCTGAACCAGTTCCGATCAGGAAAATGCCCCATTCTGGTGGCTACGGCGGTCAGTACACATGAAGTTCTGGTAGCTGCACTGATCACATTTTTTCACCAGAGAGGGAAAACCTGACACATTATTTTACATCCCCAACAGAAAGATAAGAATCCTGCTCTTGGTTATCAGTTTTAGGCCAAATCAAGAGTCTCATTGCCTTTTAAGTGTTGGGTTGACCCGTTGTCAGCCATGCAATTTACCGAGGTCGATATTCCACTTTATTCCGACTATCGTTATTGTTTTGTTTTTTCTTTACTGATTCTCAGTATAATACATGGAACATGCTATTTAGGTTTTGACGCGTCACCAGTAAAGTCCAGTCAACAGTGGAAGCTAACGCGGGACCGATTAGCGCAGTAGCTCCAGTGAGCAGCGCTGTTTATTAAAGGTTAGCTAGCAGATGTTTAAGTTGTTAAAAACACCACAATCTTACACAAACACGCTCAGTTTCCTCGTTAAACTGAAGATGCCTGGCTGAATCCCTTGTCAGTGCAACTGGAGCTTCTTTTGCTAACGGTGCTAGGCTAAAGCTACCACTGAAAGGCTTGCTGTCAGGCCTGTGGCTAACGCTAACTGAGGTACTTATAACATCTTTCTGAATTAAATTAACTTTGATAATCTGTCCTGACAGACACATTTCTCTGGAGCAGGGACACAGCTTCCAAAAACCACAAATCGGGAAATTAGCTACTTTCACAGTGGCTAAGTGGCTAAGCTAACAGCTAAACAGCTTGGCTGTGCTTGTGGCCAAATTAGGATGCAGCCACTGATTATTGTCCAACAAATAATGCTTTAAGATGTGCATTAAAAGTGATAGAACAGCGAAAGATGAAGAAAACAGACAAACTGTTATCAGAAAAGAGCATCCTAGCGTCATGTGATGCTCTGACATCATCACTTCTGTTGCTGTTGTACATATTCAGTTATAATAATCCTTTTTAATGAAGTAAGCGAGTCATGAATGACAGATTCCTTGCTGTCATGCTGTTTCAGTTCTCAGTCTCTTTTGTTCCTAATAATCTGTATTCGCCCTGAAAAAATCCTTATCAATCAATCAATCCCTGTTTTTGAGGTTTTTCAATGTTTCTGCTTTTGTCTTGTGCCCTCAGGTAGCAGCTCGGGGTCTGGACATCTCCAACGTGAAGCACGTTATCAACTTTGACCTGCCGAGCGACATCGAGGAGTACGTGCACCGTATTGGACGTACAGGACGAGTAGGAAACCTGGGTAAGGATGTCACTACTGTGTAGGTTCCTGTTGGACTTCTGCTTTGACAAAATACATCGTGTGTTGCTGAACGCGTCCCGTGTGTTTCCTGTAGGGCTGGCCACATCGTTCTTCAATGACAAAAACGGGAACATCACTAAAGACCTGCTGGACATCCTAGTAGAGGCCAAACAGGAGGTTCCCTCATGGCTTGAGAGCCTGGCCTACGAGCACCAGCATAAGAGCAGCAACAGGGGGCGCTCTAAGAGGTGCACATGAGCTCCTTTCAGCTGTGGATCTAAACGGCTTCATGCAGGGGAGTTCATTTTGTGTTTTGTATTTTCAGGTTCTCTGGTGGTTTTGGAGCTCGTGATTATCGTCAGACGGCCGCCGGAGGCAACGCCGGAGGGTTTGGAGGACGTGGAGGACGCAACCAGGCAGGACACGGAGGAACCCGTGGATTCGGAGGAGGTGAGGATCCCATCTTAGGATAGACAGTGGATATAAGGTCTGCTTTTGCAAAAATGTAGTATCAGCAAAACTTAGTGATGCACGATATTAACATTTCAGGCCGATACCGATATCCGATTTCAAGGTTTCTGATATCGGCGATAACCGATGTCACCGATGTCGATATTCAATTTTTGTTCACACCGAGGCTTTTCCTAAACTCCGAAGAGGCGAAACATGTGTTCCAGAAGAGCAATAACTATTATCCCTCACTGGGGTATTACCAGTGCCGTTTGTGGTTACAAAACTAGTGTTTAACGCCCCGACCTCCAAGCAGTTTGGAGCCGTTTTATTTGTTCCCGGCACATTCAGTTCGCAGTTGTTGGATTGTTTGTTTATAATCCTGGAATGCACCAACACTGGAGAGACAGAGCTGACTCCAAACACGACTAGATCTCTTCCTCTGGGTAGTTTTTTCATTTGTTTCTGTACTAATTAGCTGTCTGCTCTGTGTGAACACTGCCTGCAGTTCAGTTAAGTTGTCCCTGAGCTCACTTTAAGAAATGTTTTAAATGACACATGCAGAATCATTTGAAATAGGTGAAGTCTTACATTTAGGCTTAGATTTGGTGGAGTTTTCGGACCGAACGGCACGTGACAGATGAGTAGCTCCAGGTTGGAAGTGCTTCGATGAATGGTGTCATTTTGGAGACTTTTTGGAGGATAAACCGCCTGAACTTGAGAAATCAAAGACGGTGAACTGGGAAACACCAAGTCGCAGACGAACTGGCTCGTTAGTTTTTGCCACCTTTTGCTTGTTAACGCTGAGTTTTCTCGTCTTTTTTTTTTTTTTTTCTTCCTCTCAGGTGGTTTTGGCAACTTCTACACCAGCGACGGCTACGGAGGCAACTACTCACACTCTCAAGTTGACTGGTGGGGCAACTAGGTTTCTTCATCCTCCCTTCACTCATCCCTCTTTCCTCCTCTCACTCCTCCATCCTTCTCCACTCTGCTGTCTCCATCCCGTCTGTCTCGTCATTAACCCCGACAGCCCACATGCATGTTATTAAAATATTTATACTCATTTATATAGCGCTCCCTCCATCCTCTGTCACTCTTTCAGTTCCTCCCTGGATTTCTTTTTTTCTTCTTCTTGTGCTTTCCATCTCCACCTTTGTCGTTACAAAGGGTTCTTTTTTTTTTGACTTTTCTTCATTTCCAACCTCTCCTTTTGAAATAGGCCACATAATACAGAGATTCCTGCATTTTAGTTGGTTACTTTTCAACACTGGACACAGATTTGCTTGTTACCTTCCAGCTTGCAACCACCTTTGGTTTCCATGAGGAGACTTCAAACCATTTCCCCCGTGTGGCGTGTCGGAAGAAAAATAACCAATTAAAGTTGTAGGTTTTCTTAAACCCCCTAAGATAGGATGTGTGGACTTCTCCGAAACAGCCGTGGAAAGGGGAAAATCCCGATGTTGTTTTTTTTCTCTCTTTAGATTTTGAGTTTTGGCTTCATCGTGTTTTTTGTCTGCATTCACCCAAAGCCAGTCAGGCTCCCTGTGTAGCTTCACATCATCTTTGTATTTAACGCATGGCCATGTTGTAAATCACCGGCCGAAACCTTTTCTAAAATATAGAGATAGGCAAGACGTCAGAGCAAAGTATGTCTGCGTATAATTTCAGAAATAGGAACTGGCTGAGGTCTCCTTCACCTATAGGACAGACACATTAAAGGGGCCACAGAGACAGAAAAAGGTTTTTGTTTTGTTTTTTTTTCTTCACCTTTTTAAACCATTAAAATATCGACTCACCGAGGTCTGAAAACGAAGAGACGAGAGGCTGGACAAACTGAGAAACCCAGCCAGCAGACAGTCCTAGGACTCGTGGTTGTTAATTACAAACACCGTTTCATTGTTTTAAGCAAAACGTTATGGAGAATCATTTGTTTCTGTACTGTGCCTTTAAGAATTTGAACTTTGTCTCTTTTTTTCTGTTGTTTTTATTGCCATAACACGTGACTGGCTGCAAATATAGGCCAACGGTGACGAAAAAAAAAAAACTGTGTATTTAATGTCATGTATGGGTTTAAACATGTTTTTCTTCATTTCCATTTGGAAGGAAACAAACTAGGCTTGAACTAAATCAAACCTTGGCAAAAAAAACTAAAAAACTAAAACTGTGATGAGGAAAGTCAAAGCGATTCCTTATCTGTCTATTGGAGTTAAAATTCATCAGAAGGACTCTGACGACCTGATTCCCAAAAGCACAGAACCACTGTGAGCTTAGATTATTTTTATATACCCTCATCCAGCGACTAAAATGGATCAAAAATGACATTACAGTTATCGATAAGGAGCAGAGATAAGCGCAGTGGTTCTACGCTTTGGGGAAACCGAGTCCTCCTCACTGACCGGTGTGTCACATCGACAGCTCTGCGTTGAGCTCGCGGTTGGGTTTCTCCGCGCCATCTTGTCACTAATTGTTGGGTCGCCTGGTGCCGCTGACGGAGCAGCAGCCGTCGCTACGTCCTCTCCCACCGTTCAGATCCGCAGCTGTAGAAGTAGATCCTCATAATCTGAAGTCAGCAATATTCAAAGTGTTACCAATACTGGGGGAAAAAAAATGTAGCTCTGCGTAAAATAGATATTTTACGACTCATGTATTTAATTTGTTTCCATACTTGTCTAAGTCCAGTTTGACTAAAATGCTCTGGACTTACGTCATGTAGCTGCTGTTGAGTCACTACAGCTGCGATGAGGAGGGTAACGTTCAGTTTTCTACAGGATCTGGTTCGTTCAAACGGGGTAACTTTGACACGTGGGATAACGTGAGCTTGATCAAATATTTCAGCTCAGATTTGAACAACTTCCCCAAAGCAGCAGAACGTCAGACGAGTAGTTTGTTCAGAGTTTCTGTATCCGGTAAATGGTGTAAGTTCAGAGATTTCCTGTTTTGTTTTTCTTTGAAAGACGTGTTTTTAAACCGACCGGCGAGTTTTGGGGAGGCTTAGACCTAATTACTGACAAAAGTAGAGATTTTTTGCACATGAAAGTTTAAAAACATCCCACGGCTGCTGCTGCTGCTGCGATCGGACGGCTTCGGTGGCCGTTCAGTTGACTCTTAGTGCCACCTTGATGTCGGGAAACCGTCTCTGCTTCCACCACAAACATTGAAACCCTTGTTTGCCAAAAACTTCTTTCAAGGGGATACACAACTAAAAGAAAAAAAACAAAAAGAGTTCAAAATTTTCTCGCTCACTCTATCCTGGAGAGTTACACGAAGAGTCTTCTCTAAAACAAGTCATTCCAGTTTATCCGTTAGGTCTTTAAGAGCCGTCGAGGTCGGGGATACCAGTGAAGAACTGGATCGTGTTGGTTTCACAGCAGGGACAGCTGGAGCTTCCTAAAGACGTGACGCCACGTATCCTCAGCACATTTTAGCCGATGACTTCACTATGCGCGATCAAGCACAAGACGTAATCTCCTTCAGTCAGACGTGTAACATTTCGCACTTTCAAACCAAAGAGAACAACTTAACGCCTGCTGAAGATGGCAGCCGCTTACATTCCCACTGCAGCATTCACTCAGCAGACGCCGTTCGTCTCTGCTGCGTCTTGTCAGGGTCACAGTATTTACAAATCCAGATTTCCGCCAACTCGCAGGTCATCTACACGCTGGCAGCTTAAGGCACTTTTTCGAAACCCTTGCACCTTGTTTGCCATCACAGCCCACAGGTACGCTAGTATTCGTTAGCGCTGATGCATGTCAGCTCTCCAGAGAAGCTGCAGTTTTGCTTTTCTGCACCGGCAGTCTTGGCAGCTACTACGACTTATCCGCCTTCTGTCTGCATGACGTGTCCAAAATCTGCTGCGGTTATCAGTTGGCGCACGCTAAACGGCAACATAGCTGGTGTGCATTGAACCGGGGCCCTGCTAGAAACGGTACCGAGCTCGACGTAGTGCAGTCATAAACCGATCGGCTGCATTGTGCTGGTGGAAAAGTGGCGTAAAAGAGCCGATGGCACGTCGTCGGTTTCTGATCCGCGGCTGGCTCTGCTGTGGAACCAGGCTTCAAGGGGCAGCTGAGCTGCACCCACGACGTCCATGTTTCATCCCTGATTGAAGCCTCCACTGTACATTTGGGTGGTTCAGTGGTGGAGGTCCAATCCCCCACCGTGTCGGGCCGCAGCAGAACAAGCCAAAAATGCTCTGTTGCTACCAGGTGGGGACAATTGTTAGTTTTTATCAGGCTCTTAATTTGTTTTGTTTACATGAGGATTAAATGTACATAGTTCAGCTCTTCTTAAAACAAAAAGAGGGGGATCTCTACAGGAGAGGAATGTGAATTATACACAAAACAACACTTGTTGTGTAGAAAATTGTTGGATCACTCAACATTGGACCAGACGATGTTTGGTAAGCTTAGTCCAGAGGGCAATTTGAACACAGTCGGAAGATTTATTCTTTTCAGAGAGTAAACTACTTGTGTTTACACATTAAAAAAAAAAAGAAACAGTACGTAGATTTTATTTACCAGTTACCGTTCCCTCAAATTGCCCACTGACTTTGACAAATGACCAGGCTGGACCAAGACAATAAAACATATGCAAGTGTTGTTGTTTTTTTGGTCAAGGAGTTACAAATGCCAAGCAAATGCATCCAATTCTACAGCAGGCTTTAGTTTTGTTAGAACTTTATGATTTTTCCTGTCTTCTATGATTTTTAGACCACTTTTTAATCAGACGTTCAGGTCAGATCCGTTTCCCTCGAGTACATTCGGGGGGAGTTTAGGGAAACTAGTCGGCTTCGGCGCCATTTTTGAAGACTTTGAGGCTGAGTAGTGCTTCAAGCAGACAGCAGGTCACGTAGAAAATACACAAACTAGATTCTCCAAAGACGCCAGTGTCTTGTGTTGGAATTTGCGTAGGAAAATGTCTCGCTGAAATCAAGGACAGCTGTCAAAGGATGCGATGTTATGTAAAAATTCTCCACCATGTCCTCCGTTTATAAACGAGCCAGAAGCACCAGATCAGTTTGCGTTTTCTTTTCGAGTGTCAGATAAACCGATATTGTAGCACAAAGAAGTGAATCGTTGCTGAGGTTGAAATTGCAGTCTAATACAGGCTTAACTACTATGAGCTCCAGTTGAATCAGCGATTTAATTGTTGACCTGAACTGTCAGAGGCGTCCCAGGACATGACGTTAGCGCCTGTTTACCAATCAGAGATTTTTTCCCTGAATGAATACACACTTTATTTTCTCCTGCAGCAGCAGTGGCTGGTCTCCATCTTGGATTTCTTACAAGAACTAAGTGAACAACCAGCAGGGAGACAGAAATCAGTTCCAGGACAATAAGTTGCAAATGACAATCAATTATGAAGGATTTGCTTCGTTCAGAATTCACTTTACACACGAACACAGAACTTTTTGAGTTGCACCTTTTACATGCAGACGTTTTGTTGAGCAGCGGTTGCGTCCTCCCCGATGGAGAACGCCGATATGCACGGGCTGGTTAATGCCAAACGGAGCTCGTTATCTTGCAGTTGAGGATACGCTCTCTGATTGCGTTACGTTGCCCACAAATCCCCAAATTGCTGATGTCCTGGAGCTCATCACAGTTTGAAATGTGTTACGAAAGCAGCCTTTACCTTTAAATATTGTCTGCTGACGGTGTGGACTTGTTGGCATTTGTTGTGTGGGTCCAGTGCAGTGTGCTGTGTTTTAGTTCAAACGCTAAACCTGCTAAAGCGCCGTTACAGAAGGACGTACAGTGTCAGAAGCCAGTCTGGGTGAGTGTGTCGATGTTGCCGTGCCTTCTACCAGCCACTAGGGGGCAGATAGCGTAAGTAGAATAATAATAAATGAAGGAACTTTACATGGCGGGAGTCACTGCTGAGCACATGGTTGCTGCTGGTTGTGTTGACAGGAGTTTTAAAGGGAGTACTGGAAGGTGAAACTTCACTTTACCTCTTTACATCTTGCTGACTGATCAGTCCTGTCAAGTAGTGTTGCTCCATTATGAATATGCTATGTATTTAGGTTGTTTGTTTTTGTTTTTGTTTTTCTCTCCAGGGCCAACAGGTTTTATCTGTTAGGTGTAATTACCACTGAATTGTCTTAGAGCAACATTTAACTACCACTGTGCCCCAAGTCATCCACCCCACCTCATGAAAATACCCCCCTGGGTCGCTGGACGTCTGCTCCAAGTGTAGTGGAGTTCAGGGACCTGTGGCTTGCTTCCACTTCGAGGCCGCCAAGATTCTCTGCTTTGTTAGTTTTCTGTCTGTGCTCTTTTTGGATTAAGAGCACAAACTAGTAAAATCTAATTCTGACACATGCGCGGTGCCTTGAAATGACTGAAACCCTGATTCCCTGCAGACTGAAATAGTTAGGGCTGGGTATTCTTCAATCCAGATGTAAAATCCAAACTCGTATATGAATAGGCTCTTTCACTGTAGAACTTTATGATGCTGCAGTTCATGTATTGTCACCATCGCACACATCAGTGGCACAAACGCACTCAGTTTTCACTGACTAAGCTCAAACTGGGACGTGTAGTTGCCGATTTGTGCCATTAATTTTACATTTCTTAGCAATTTTATTGTTTTGCTTTTTAGCCACGCGACTAGCAGGACATTATGGATGAGAATGTAGGCCAGTCACTTTGATCCTCGGTGGAATTAAAACACTCCCTGTTCTCGCAGTCTGACTCATTGGACGTAGACTTCAGGTATAAGTTTGCCATTGGGTGCACATTTTAGTGTTTTAAAAATCCCTTTTACAAACAACAACCACCAGGCAGCATCCCACCACCATGAAAGCATCCCGCATTGCAGAAGATTTGGATTGTTCAGTTAGGCAGCCCTGCTAGGTTGTGTTTTGTTTTTCCAGTGAATTATCCATTTTCATGGCAGTGCTCACCGCTCTGTGTGCAAATGTTCAACCAAAGCAATTCCCACATGTCTAGGGGACACTGTTGCTGCATCCCGGGCTTCGCTCCGCCCGATACTGTTGTGATTCGTTTAAAGAAATGCTAACAAGCCAGAGTGATTTATTCCCCCACCCTATAGCAGAATGGTAAAGTGGTGCAGCAAGAAAGTT